CGAAAGACGCTCTATCGATCTGTAAAAAAGACAATTTTTTTCTATTAACTTATAAGGGAAAACAAGGCCTCCCTCACTACTTTTGGATAACCCTAAGTATAACACGCGTGATTCTTATTTCCTATGTATTGATGATCAGAATAGATTACAATATAGCTGACTGAACCCACGAGAGAGATATTTTTTTCTATTTTTCGTGTTTATACAGAACGCAAGAAAATCTCGGGATCGAAAGGATTAACACATTTGAAAAATACTCAACTTTCGTAAAGCTTACTGGATGAATTTGGTAATTTTTATTTACAGTGTACGGTATTAATAACTATACTTTATCGTTTGTTTGTGTATTCTGTTGGAAGATCACGTGGTGCGCCATTTCGATCTAATCAATATTATGTCTAAAACGGCAGAGAAAGATAGCTCACAAACTACGAGTAGTGCGCTGTCAATATCAGCGTCCGAAGATGTTGATGATTCGTCATGGCGCTCAAGTGTCGCACGAGAATGGAATGCTCGCCGTTTAGCAGAAACCCAAATGTCGAGTGCTTTATTTCCACTCGCAATGAACCCGTTTGGTGTAGATGAAATTTTAGCAATGACAGATGTCCTGCTGACAGGACGTTTGACATTAGGCGAAGAAATAGAGAGAGCAGAAAAGAAATTCGCGCAAATAGTTGGTGCGAAATATGCTGTTATGGTAAATTCTGGTAGTTCTGCAAATTTGCTTGCAGTTTCAGCTATCACAAATAAACTACGACCTGTGCACTGTGATCCGGGTGCTCACGTACTGGTACCTGCTGTATGCTGGTCGACCAGCGTGTTTCCGTTAATCCAAAATGGACTTCATCCGGTATTTGTTGATGCGGATCCGCGCACATTCAATGTTTCTCTAAGTGAACTCGAGCGTAAACTAACGAAACGTGTTAAGGCTGTGATGGCGGTGCACGTTCTTGGCAACTCCATAAATATGCAAGAATTGATGGAATTTGTTGAAAAACATCGTCTAATATTGATTGAAGACGCTTGTGAATCCTTGGGAAGTTTTTGCAGAGCTGTTAAAGACCAGAAACCTAAAATGTTAGGTACATTCGGAGATTTCGGAACGTTTTCCTTTTACTTTTCACATCATATTACCAGCGGTGAGGGAGGAATGGTGACATGCAATACTGTAGAAGATTACGATCTTATACGTTGCCTACGTGCTCATGGGTGGACGAGACACCTCACGAATAGCCGACAGGTTGAAGAGCAATACCCAGATATTGATGCACGCTTCTTATTTGTGAATATGGGCTATAATTTTCGTCCATTGGAGGTGCAAGGTGCTATGTTAAGTGTTCAGTTGGAAAAACTTCAGGAGTACAACGCATATCGCCGTGATAATTTAAGACGAATTCGAGAAGCTTTAACGCATGATGATCGATTTTCACATTTGATGTCCTTAATGGAAGCCTCAAAAAATGTAGATCCAGCATGGTTTGGTCTTGGGGTTTTGTTACGTCGGCCATATGCTCATCAACACTCCAAATTTTTGGAATATCTAATGAGCAATGGAATCGAAAATCGTCCTGTTATCAGCGGTAACTTTATTCGCCAACCATGTGTCTCAGTTTTTTGTAACACAGAGTACGCCGAAAATTATCCAGGAGCCGAAGCTATTCATACACGAGGCTTTTTCATTGGTGTTCATCAGGTACCACTTAAACAATCTGTAATCGATAAGCTTGTCGATGTCATGTTGAGTTTTTCGTTTTCTCCGTATCATGTTGTCTTAGTGACTGGAAGCAATGGAATGTTAGGAAGGTATATTCAGGATATTGTGTGCGAACAATCTAAAAAAGAAAATTTTAAACCGGCCACGGCTGATTTTCAACCGTTGAGAATTAGAACAGTAGGCTCGGAATGGATTTTCGTAACTCGTCGAGATGGAGATCTCCGAAAAGTCGAAGATGTGCGGAATATCTTTAAGCGATTTCAACCGACACGTGTATTACATTGCGCAGCAGATCTCGCATCGATTCAGGAAATGTCTGCAAAACCAGTAGACTTTTGGCTAAATAATATCAGAATAAATAACAATGTTCTCGAAGCTGCATTTGAATTTCAAACATGGATTGGTCCTATCAAGGTAGTGTCAATGTTGTCCACAGTCATGCTTCCGAAAAATGCAGAATATCCGATTGACGTTTCGAATATCTATGATGGACTCCCACATTCCACATCAGAATCATATGCGTATGCTAAAAGGTCACTCGGACATCTTACTCAGTGGTATCGCGATCAGTATGGCTGCAATTTTATCTCCGTATTGCCGGGGAATTTTTTCGGTGCGTATGGTGATTTTAACCCTACAACAGCTCCTCTTGTTAATGCGCTTATTTCGAAAATAGAAAGTCACCGACAGCAAAATCCTTCTGACCCTCTCACGATGCTGGGTACCGGTACACCTTTGCGCCAAGTTATGTTCGCACATGACCTCGCAGAAATTGTTATTTGGGCGTTGGAAAACTACAATGATAACGAACCATTAGTAGTAGCTGGCGAAGAGGTTTCGATTGCTAAAATTACTCATCTAGTATGTGACCAACTAGGCTTTTCTGGATGTGTTTCTTTCGATGGAAATACAAAAAATGATGGACCGATGCGTCGCACAGCTGACACATCACCTTTTCAAAAGCTTTGCCCTTCTTTTCAAATGACTCCACTCTCGATCGGGATAAAAAAAACAGTAGAATGGTACCGACATACCAGGCCTAATTCTCATAAAAATTGAACATATCTAAACTCAATAGAATTCATTACAGTCACTGGATATCGTGACGGAACTGAAAAAACAAAAGTGTTTATGGAGCAGTTTTATGGCGTATCAGTATAGGTTCAGGAGAAAGAGCAGCAAAAAATCTACATAAGAAGAAAAAATAAATATCTGCTGAGAATATTATTTTATTTCACAAAAATCAAAGAAAGTATTCGAGGTCTCGTATTACGCATGGAGTAGCCGGATCTTCGCCAACAGGAATTTCGTAAATCAGACTTTCTCCAATTGACGAAAGTCCATTAAATTTTCATCCATATTGGCTAAATGCTCTCTAGTTATTGTTTTTATAAAAATGAACTTCACATAGATAATATTCATTTATTTCATCAACATAACTTTATTTTTCAATGCCCGTTGTCACACGTGCTGCAGCAGTTCGATCCCAGTTTACTGGTGATGATAAAAATTTAAAGGATCCTACAACATCTATAGCATCATCTACTAATAAAACAATTAAAAGAGACCGAGGGCGACCAAAGAAGAAAACACAAGAAGGTACATCGCATTTGAATACTGATTCTAGTAAATCAGAAACAACCTCAATGTCACACCCTCAATCAACAATCTCGACATGTGAAGCTTCTCTCGAAGCTACTGCTCATCTTGATGAAGGTAATTAAATATTCAAACAAATCATCTATACATTGGGACACAATTTATTCTGTTTAGAACCAGTAACTTTGTTAACATCACCTGCCCCAACAGTAGCAACAGGCAATACAAGCTTATTAAATAATAATGAAATTAGTTTGTCGGAAGACGAGGTTGATACTTTTATGAATGAACTTGTTGTTGAAAGAGAAATAACCACAGGTATTTCAAATCGCAAATGCGATATGGTCTTCATGAATGGATATAGCTATTTGCATATGAACATTGTAAAGGAAACCATTGGCTGGCTTTGTGCTAAGTGTAGTGAAAATTGTAAAGCAGTTATTCATTCATCGAGAATAACAGGTATATTTAGCAAATGGAATGGGCAGTTTCATTGTCATACACGTGATTTAAACAGAATGCGTAAACGTGAAATTTTGTCTGCAATCAAGAAAAGAGTTCTGGAGGAGTTTATTCCAGCTAAAATTATTGTTGAGCAACAATATACAAAACGCAGCTTGACAACAGATGAAAAACGTCATAAGGCTCTTCGATTTTAAATTTGTAATTTGAAAACATATCTTTTACTTGATATCGGTTTGTCTTGTTTACTCTGATGTTTTTAAGAATACAGCCTTCATAAATTACGTCGAAAAGCTGTACCACCAATGCTACATGATCAAAAGTTTATCATGCCGTCTGTTTATTTGGAAACATATTCGAAAGAACCTTTCATAATTTATGATAAACGAAAAAGTCAGCATGGTGGACGTTTAATTATATTTTCTTCGCCGGAACAACCCAGGTCGAACAATCCCATACTCGGATCCGGCCAGATCCGATCGGATGCAGCATCGGATTTGTTGACCTGGGAACTGAATGTTTTATCACATTCTGATATATTATTCGCAGACGGTACATTTCGTGTATCGCCGCTATTATTTGAACAATTATAATCTTTTTCCGTATGTTTGTCCTCCTCAACAGTCCGAGATAAGTAGAAACTTTTCACGTTCACCCAGTGATGGGAGAAGAGCATGGTGCTACGGGTTAAACCCTCACATTTCCAGGCTCTTCTTCTCGAGATGTTTACACCATTGTTAAGATGATATCTTAGGATATCATCTCGTCTGTCTATTTGTTCCCTAGCTATATATATAACCATGAATTCATCTTCATGGTGATCTGGTCTTCTATTTTTCTCTCCATTGTTCACACTCCTGTTCGTATTTAATAAACGATCCGAGACCGACCGTCTCTCTCTCTCTCACTCCATATCGATTTCTTTCTCTTTCGTATCCTCCTAACATTAGTGCCGCGACCGACTATTTTGTTATATACACATCTACATAACAAGACACGAACCACAAAAAAAACGACGTCCGTCAGCTACGCACGCGATACAAATAATTCAAGAGGTAGTTTCTTTTGAAACTGTCTTCAATCTCCAGCTTGAAAAAGAAGGTTCGGTAAACGAATCGTCTGGGAGAAGCTCAGGTAGTATATATCGTCGATCTTAAACAACGGCTTATCCACTACGTCATCACACTGCTGGCCCGGAACTAACCGGTGATTTACTGACGCAAACATCAGAACGTGTCGTTAGGAAAATTACAGTGGCATCCCTACCTAACGAAGAAGAAATAATGACCAGTACACAAGATTCAGCCATGATGATATGTTATCGAGAATGTCTATCAAATCTCAAGAAATTCAACGGCAGTGACGAGAGAAAGACAACACAATTCATCCACCACATCGAACGAATTGGGAAAATGATTAACACGCGGGGTGACATTCTATATTCGATGTGCACAGCAAAGCTCGATGGCGAAGCGAAACGGTGGTATGACAACAACACGACGCTGGATACATGGGAAACCTTGAAACCAGCGTTAGTCGAACGATTCACAACTACCGATTCATCATCCAAAGTATTTGAACAGCTCAAAGAACGGAAACAGAAACCCGAAGAAACGGTCACTTCATACCATGATACCGTCATCAAATTATGCCACGAGTACGACCCGACGATGTCACAAAAGATGATTATATCATGGTTGGAAAACGGATTATATGAAACCTTGAAGATTCCAGTCAAACGTCAGATGAAATCATTAGCAGAAACAGCACGCACAGCACAGGCATTCTTGAAGATTGCAAAAGCCGAACAAGAATTACAGCATGAAAGTGTCTCCACACTCGAAACAGCGACATACACTCCTTATTTTGCCGACACAGTGTCAGCCACATTACCAAAACCAGGATTGGCTTCGTCCAACACAACACAATCTCTTCCATCATCT